AACTCAAATGATACATGCTCGAAATCATGTTCTTAGATCATTAAATTGATTAATACAATTTGGACGCATGTGATATAATCGTCTTAGTGAATATATGTTAAATGAATGCTATGAAAATAACGATATCCGCCCATATATTTTCATAAAGAAAACAAATATTGAATTTGCAATTATGATTAATGATTTAAATTTAATTAAAACTCCAGAAGAGCTCAACAAAGCTATTGGTTATTTGAAAAATGAATTTGAGATGAAAGATTTGAGAAAAATCAAATTTTGTCTTGGATTGCAAATGGAACATTTCCCAGAAAGATTATTTGTTCATCGATCTATGTATACAAAAAAAAGTTTTAAAACGCTTTTATATGGATAATGCACATCCACTTGCATCACCATAGTTGTTCGATCATTCGATGTGAAAAATAGTCCATTTCGTCCACTTGAAGATGAAGAAAAGATTCTTGGTCCTGAAGTACTATACCTTAGTGCAATAGGAGCATTAATTTATCTTGTAAATTGCATTATATCACTTTTTCTGTAAGTTTCTTTGCAAGATATAGCTCTACACCAATTCAAAGACATTGAAATGATGTTAAACATATTTTTCGTTACCTAAAGGGTACTATTGATTTGGTATTATTTTATTCTCAAAAGTCGGGATCTGCTTTAGTGGATATGCAGATGCAGGTTATCTATCTGACCCACATAAAATTAAATCACAAATAGGTTATGTGTTTACACGTGGAAGAACGGCTATATCATGAAAATCTGTGAAGCAATCCTTGACAGCTTTATCCTTAAATCATTTTGAAATTATTGCAATCCATGAAACAGGCCGAGAATGTGTATGGTTGGGAAACATGACCCAGCATATCCAAGCATCATGCGAATTAATTTCAATAAAGGATAGTCTAACAATTTTGTATGAAGATAATGCAACTTGTATTGCACAACTCAGAGGAGGCTATATCAAAGATGATAGAACGAAGCATATTTCTCCAAAATTCCTTCATACACATTAGCTTCAAAAGAATGGCGATGTCAATATCCAACAAATTCGCTCAAGTGACAATGTGATCGATTTATTCACAAAAGCGCTGTCAACATCTACATTTAAGAAATTAGTTTATGAGATAGGAATGCGTTGACTCAAATATTTTCAGTGATCAATATTAGAAGGAGTAGCTGTACTCCTTTTTCTTAGCTTAGATTTTATCCCACTGGATTTTTCTAGTAAGATTTTAATAAGGCAACGTTTATTTTTAGTACTCCAAAATAACTGTACTCTTTTTTCTTCGTTTGATTTTTTTCCATTGAGTTTTTATCAAACAAGGTTTTAACGAAGCAGATATTTTGTAATGTGTCATTCAAGGGGGAGTGTTGTAAAAGGAAATATTATTAGAGTTTAGAGGTGAATGACAATTATACCCCTGCAGCCCTAGAAATAATTACTATTGTATCTCTAATTCTGCTCTATAAATACAAGACTTTGATTCTTAATAAAACTCACAAGTCTATTGACTTCTCTCTGTTCTCTTCTCTTTTCTTCACTTTTATAACAGTCTGCATATTATTTAGCAATTGTAAAGGGGTTAAAGAGTTGAAGTGATGTTAAACTGATAGTTTAAAATTTTCCCATTTTGGCCCCCATTATTTGCCATTTTAATTTATGGACCAGTAGTTTCTTGAAAAATATGCGGTTAATAAAGAAGAAAAAAATTTGAATTTATGTCTATTATTATTTTATTGGAGAATGTGTGGTTGGTAAGAAGAGAGAGAAATATAAATTAAAATTTAATGGGGGCCAAACGGGGATAAATGAAAACAAAAATTTATAGGGTGAATCAGCTGCTTGTGGATGAACGACCAATTTTGAGAGTGAATTGACTCATCCTAAAGTTCATTTAGGGTATGTTTGATTCACTTTCAATTCCATGGAAAATGGAATTTTCCACTTTTGTTGGTGTTTGATAGGCATTTATTTATTGGCAATTGGAATTCCATTTTTTGCTTCACATGATGACCATTTCTTGCTTTTCATTGAATTTGTTTTCCCACCTATATGGTGGGAAATGGAATTCCAAGTATTTTTATTTTTTTTCGTTTTTTTTTTTTAGTAATGGAGACAAATTCTAAGAATTATTGTAAACAAATATTTTTCTTTAATTGACAATTTTCATGTAAACTAAAATCAAATGATACCCAAAAGATAGATAATTTTCTTGAATTTTTTCTTTTTCTTTTTTGGCAATAAAAATAAATTTCATCCTCAATATCAGTAAAATTTATCTTTTTTATTGACAATTTTCATGTAAAACAAAGTCAAACAAATACCAAAAAATACTTTTATTTCAACATTTTTCACGTGAAAAATTATACCAATCAAATACAATAATTTAAAATTTTAGGAAAACAATTTCTAGATAATTTAATTCCCTGGAATTCGTTTTCTTTCCACCCAAATTTCATCTTTGCAATCAAATGGATCTTTTGCGAATTCTAAATTTCAGCATTTTTCTTGTGCAAAACTAGACGAATCCCTTGTTTGATCCCCATTTTAGGAGAAATAATGTATTTTGAATAGTAGATTGATGAAAAATGTGTAATTAAAACTTAAAGAAAAGTTTTGAATTTGCATGTAATATTATTTTATTGAAAAATGTGTGGTTTAAAATGAGTTATGAAAAAATGAATTTTTAGAAAGACGAAAATCAAACAAGGACTAAATTTCGGATCATTTTTCAAGTTGAACCGATCTATCCAATCAAGTTAAGTCTTATAACATTTCTACACACTAAGTATAAATGAAACAAAAACATTTAGAACATGTTTGAAAAGTGTTTATAAATAATTTAAATTACAACTAGATAGAACTAAGTAATGAATAAATAACTAGTACTATGAACATCTCAAAATATGTGAATAAAAATTTAAAAGTAATTTGAGTAATTATAATATACAATAGTCAAACACACGTCGCTTCTTCCTCGAGTCTTGTCATGATCGCGCACTCGATGAAAGAGCTTTACAAGCGGCATTGCCCTTCTTCACTCACGCGATATTGCTAGATCGGGCTTTCGCCCATTGTCCAAGATTCCCCACTGCTGCCCCCCGCGGGAGTCCGGGCCGTGTCTCAGTCCCAGTGTGGCTGATTGTCCGAAAAGACCAGCTAAGCATCATGGGCTTGGTTAGCCTTTACCTAACCAACTACCTAATACTACGCAGGCTCATCAAACAGCGCTTTTTAGCTTTCTTCAGGATTTGGAAGTAAGAAAATTTTATCGAGTTTTGGTAACTTTTGAGACGAGAAAAGGGGGAGAGGAAATTACTACAAATGTCAACTTTCACATATGACATATCCACTTGCAAAAATGTCCATTTTGAAATAATTTAGATCAAAATACCCTTGTTAACAATTTATGATTCCACATAAAGACAAAATTGGACATTTTTGCAATTAAAAATTTTATTGGCCAATAAAATTTTGACACAACCTACCCTATTTATTTCAAAAGTGCACATGTCAAATTATAATAAATGCTATTTTTCTCATTGCACAAAAATGTCGAGTACTACATTTTAAGTGTAGAGAAATGTCATGTTCGGAATGAAATGTCATTCTAGACATCTAATATGTCAAGAACAACATTTGAAATATCGAGAACATTTAATGTTGTGATTTGACATTTATACTTTTAAAATATAAACGAGGTTCAAATATCGAGAACGACATATGAAATGTCGAGAACATCATTTTAATGTAACTTCTCATGGAAGCTATTTCTCAAAATCCACGACAAATGGAAAAAAGTTTATTACTTCATTTTTTTCATTAAGGACATGATAGACAGTTTAGTACTAAACTTAAAAAGTGAACATTTTTGAATTGACAGCCATGAAATTGAACATTTTTTAAAATACTTAATAAATAACATCACCTAGTTTTTTATATATTGTTTACATAATTTCTTTTATTTAAGAGAATATTTTTTTGGCATGAACACTTGCGTTTGAAGTCTAAAGTAGAGCTCAATAAATTATAGCATGTTTAGGAAGTATTTACAAAAGGTTTAAATTGTTATTAGATAAAAACAAGTATTGAGTAAGTGAATATATCGAGTATATAAATAAAAAGTATCTTGAATATTTATAATAGTTTGACTAGTATGTGCAAGCATTTGAATAAAGTAACATCAATCACACTATAAGTGCATAAAATTTTGACAGACAACACATGGCGTAAAATTATTAAAAGAAAGAGAGGGGGGGAAGGCCAATCATGCACCGCCACATCAACGTCGGTATGAATTCTATCAATATTTTACTTGTGGCTTTTTCCAACATTTTCATCTGATCCTTAATATTCTCAATTTATATATATGAGCATGTCGCCAAAAATAGAGTTGCTTTATGGCTAGCTAGAATTACATGTAAATCGTGATTGGGAAGACAAAAAGATTTTCAATCTTGATTATAAATTGTCCTACAATGTCACATAGGACGATTACCGCAGTGAGTGATTATGAATAACATTACTTATTTTTTTTAGTTATTATTTATTTTAATATCTAGTCAATTTGCTCCCCCCCCCCCCCCCCCCCGCGGGGAAAAACCAACACTATATTCATTGTATATAACCCATAAAATTCGGTTTAAATTTTTTCTTTCAGGTTTGCTCATTAATATTTTTATCACACCTAGTTAAATTGGAAAATTTTTTGTCTATCCGTTGAATTTGCTGCTTCACTTCATTTCTGTGAATACTTTTGTTGATAATTTCTGTGATTAGAGTTTGATGATATTTGTGAGCATTTTTATTTATTTGAATTTTTACCCTAATTCGATCCATTACTCTTTGCCTTTTTCAATTTAATATATAGACTGATTTGTGTAACATCAAGTTTATACTGCAATGTAAATATTCTAGTATTTTAACAGCATAACAACATTATGTAATTGACAACAATAAACTAAAATAAATTGAAAGTAGAATAATGCAATTAAAAAAATGCTAATGTTGAATGCAAATACAAGTCATGGCTGATTTTAAACATGATTAGTGATAGCAACGGCGGTCGATGCTTTCCCACCTTCGCTTTTATTTCTACCGAGTGAGTGAGTCAATGTGTGTGAGAAAGTGAGCAAGAGAAAGAAAGAGGGTCTGGCATGGAGATGTTAAAGCTCCTTCATTATATTGTTGAATAATGTTTAATTCAACGTACCAAACATATGATAATATTAGTGAACTTAACAGAATGTTTTCTGAATTTGCTGAGCGAGTTCCTCTGCACTAAGTTGGCATTCAATTCCAATCTACAAAGAAGACATATATTCGATCATTAGCTTCAATTCAATATTAATTAAAACTGCATTCAATTATATCAACAAAACCAAGAAATGACTAAATAGATTTGTGGAAAATAATAATGGAAACAAGGAAAGAAAACGTGCCCTAGTTTTCAGTGAAAATTGTTCTTTCCAAGAGTATATATGTCACTATGTTAGAATTAATGGACATTTAGAACAAGTTTGGTAACATAACGTCACTTTTTAAATTTTCTTTTCTGCCCTAAAATCTTTTGCATCTTCGGAAATTCTTAACAGACAAATGTCCCAAGTTTAACAACCACTCTTAGATTTGTTGCTTATTTATAGAAATTGTGCATAAATGATACTTTCATCGTAAAAAGATATATTCAACTATTATGTAACAGACGCATTGAAGAGGACTCTAAATGTATAAAAGCTTCAATTAAAAAATAATTATATGATTTTCACATGGGGTGTTGTGTTGGACGCTAAACTAAATTTAAGCTTTAGATGAACTAGTTCAACACGCTTGGATGAGCATTCATCTTTAGATAATCCAAATGGATGGTATTTGCATAAAATTTGATTTCTTGAACTAAAAATAACAAAACGAAGATTATAAGTTGTATTTCTGCTTATTTTAATTACCTTAATAGTGAAAGAATTTCTCATTTTGTCCCCAACTGTGCTAACGTTCACATGGAGGATTTCCAGGGACAGTTCTTCAAGTGCAGAAATTATCTTCACTGTTTGGCCTTGAATTTTTGGAGAAACAGTCTTGAGCAATACATTTGGACAAGAAAATTTGACTTCCACTTCAGCAATAGCAGATTTGGAATTTGCAACAAGTTCATTAACACTGTCATTCATGGAGGAATTTGAAGAAGAATTGGAAGGTGAATGTAGCCAGGTTTTGTAGGGACTGTTTGGCTGTGGGGTTCTTGGGCTAATGGGTGGGTATAATCTGGGACTCAATGGGGGCTTTCTTGGACTAAGGGGTGAAGGTCTTGGACTTGAAACCAAACGAGGACTTAAAACTTCTGTATAAGCTTTTCTTTGTTTCTTGGCTTCTAGGGATTGTAGAACTTGTTGTAACTCAGTGATGTAATCGACAACTCCACCGATTATGGATGCTTGATCAGCCTATTCGAAAACAGAGGCATGTATGTTAGTAATACAATCTCTTTTTGTTTCCCTAGGTAGATTTAACCGTGTTAGACAATTATAAAAGACTAGCTAATTCTAATTCATACTATGTTCTGGAACATGTCCTCAAAATGGTAGCGACTTCTAACATTTCAACATGAATAATTTAAAGTTCTCAAATATTTGGCCTTGCTCTTTCAACAAAAGAAAGTTGCTTAGTTTAGGAGTATTACTTTTGATTGCCCAAGAAAGCATACTGCCGAAATAAACGTGCTTAAAAGCTAAGCCAAACATCCTAGTTTTGTAGCTTTCTTATTCCCCAATGGAATACTTGTATAGTACAAACCTACTACACTTTATTGTATGTTTGGTAGGTAGTATTACGGGAGTCAAGCTTAAATCCTAAAGGAAAACTAGAAGAAAGCAAAGATGAAAGGACACTTACTCTTTTGACATAAAAGGAAGGCATCAAAGAGCGCAAGACAGTCAAATGTTCATTCATCTGCTTCCTTCTGTTCCTCTCCACTGTTATATGAGAAATTCTTTGCTGTCCATCAATTTCCACTTCCATCGAAGCTGTTGCAATTACCTTCTGTTTCTTGCTTTTTGGTGAAACCTCAAATTCAGTTTCAGATTCTTGAAAAACACTTGAAGAATTAAATTTTTGAGAAACCAACATTCCCACTTCATCTACTGGCTTAAAGTCTGAAACCCCGTCTAAAGCCTCAAGAATACTGAAAATATCGTCTGGAGACGGCGTGAAGCCCCCGCCGAGGTTGGCTTCAGTACCAAACTCAGTATCCTCAAAAAGGTCAGATAAATTCTTGCCATCCATTTGAAAACAGCTTACAGAAATGTCGACTGATTTATAGAAGGTTCGAAACACACTCAAAGATAAGCTAAGAAAGAAAGTGTGCGTATTTTCCTAGAAAGTAAGTAAAGACCTGTTTGAAAAAAACGTAAGATTTAGAACTAAAAGTTCCAAAGTAATTTAACTTTTAAATAAAACTGGAACAAGTTTAACTTTTAAGCTTAACAAAACATGCGTTAGTTGGTAGTTTTGACTCCGCGCCACTGCATGGTTGGTCGTTTTCTCGGGAAGCCGCCGATTTTGTCGCTGGCCGGAAGATCAAGAAAAAAAAGGCTAAAATATATAACTATAACAAGAAATGTATGTATTGTATGAACTGATTGAAAGGGACCAAACTATCAACATCAAAATCTATTCTCGAATAGGGTTTTTGCATGGATTTGAGGGAAAGAAATCACGAGAGTGACATAGGAGTGGACAGGGAAAGGGAAAAGGAAAAGAATGTGGATTCTTCGGAGGGTTATTTCCAGAAGGAGAGAGAGAGACACACACAGTGATGGTCTGTGCAAGAGAAATGGATATATAAATGAGACCGAGTAGATACTCAAATTTAAGAATATTTATGTTTTTGTACTTCGGTATAAAAGTTAAAAAGCTGGAAAAAATTCTGAGTAGAACTTTTACTTCCACTGTGTTCAATAATCATTAATCAATTATCTCCATGATTCATAAACGTATTATATAAGATTAGACAGAATGGAAGAAGAAAAATAATTTAAAATAGTTAATACTCTGTTGTCTTGTATTGCTATCGAATACGTTACTCGAAAAGTTTAAAAATAGTGAAGATGGAAAGAATTTACATCACCCTAATTATGTTTTTAGAATGTCTATGCACGTGCATGAAAGATGTGGTAAAGAAAAAAATTTATAAACAAATATCGATAAAACTCGGATTCAATATTTTGCTCACTCTAATTTCAAATTAAATAATTACTTCATTAAAAGTTCAACGAAAAGAGAGAACTTTAATACATTTATTGATATATACAGATGACACAAAAACACTTATATTTTGTTCTAACTCCTATGTCTCATCCTACACCATGCGTCGCAGTCTCAATTTCCCGTGTTCATCTCCTCCCCCAACTACTACTTGAAAGACTCTTAGGTTGCTACTAAGCCATTTGAGAGAATTTTGAAATATTCGTAAGTAGCTCCTCAATTAGAGGACTCTAAGGTAGGGAAGAGGAGACAAGTTCGTTGAGAGAAAAGAACATAAGGTAGGGGTAAGAAAGAAAATGATATGAGTAAAATAAAAACCATTAATATGGTTAGATATGGCATTTGGTCGGTAAATATGATTTTTTAGGTGGAAAAACTTGTATCAATTAGCTATTTTTTATTTTGATTATTACAAGATGACTATTTTGAAGGGGAAAAAACACTTAATCAATTTCAGTATTTCACCAATTAATTGATTGAGGCTATCTTTTGTAAGTTCATGTGTTTCATAGCAGTCCACTGCATGTAAATGTTATATTTATTTCTTATTGACACGATTTCTTTAAAATTTTTGCAAAATGATAAATCATTTGATAATACTAATCTTAGAACTTGATTGTTCGTAGGAACTTTTTAAGCTCTATTTTCATTTCTAGTATTGAAATTCCGTGTAAACATCGATCTTATTAAGTGGACCGACCTAATCTCTAAGCTCGTGTTGAGCCCTATTCTTTTCATAAAAATACATTTTTGAATAATATATTGATGTGAAATGTGTGGTTAAAAAATAATGAACAATTTTAAATTTACGCGTAATATTATTTTATTGAAGAATTTGTGATTGAAATGATATCAAATTACTGTTTAAAAATGTATTTTTTCCCCAAAAAACGAGGCTCAAACAGGGGCTAGGATATTAATTATTATCATCTATTGAACATATGTGAGATTTTTCCTTAACAATATTAGAGTGTGATATATACTGGTTATGCAAAATTTTATTACCAATGGCGGGTCTATTGTGGAAAACTTTACCATGATTTTTGGCAACAGTTGCTTTATCTTTGCTGTAAATATCTTCATTTTATTTAACTTACCTAAAAATAATTGGCAGTTATCCAAGAGAAGTTTTAACTATGATGATTATTAAGCTTTTGCAATGGGAAAAAGATGACAATTTGAATGTAAATGCAATTCTAGTACCCAATATTGTACGGCAACAAACAAAATTTTGGTTCTTTTTTTCATTAAAAATGTTGTCGGATCCTGTAGAAGAACCACGGATCTAGAGCTGCTCCAGACATGGATTTATGGTGGCCTACATAATAGCAGACTATATCACCCACGGCCATGTCATAAATCAATCCGCCAAATAAGGAATCCAAGATAAGCCTCTGAATGATTTGATTAGTTGCTCAAGCTTCTATGCTTTTTGGTTTTTCTTCTCTCTATTTTTTTTATTTTTTTTTATATAAAAGATTTTCTAGGGTGTTATTTAAAGGTTGAACCCCAACCTTGAGGGTCCCCACCGTCCCGCCTCTAGAGCTTTGTGAGGGATGTAAATCGCGGGATGTGCTCAGCAGGCCAGAGAACAAGAGGTGTCTGTACACTGTGCCTACAAGGAGTCAAATTCCATGTCTCAGGAATCGAAACCCCACACTGCGACTACCAGCAAGGTATGAGATAACCTCACTCATATCCTTTACACCACTGGGCTATGCTCCGGGGGGCTTTCTACGGTGTTACTCGTTTTCATAGTGTATTATTACAAATATTAGAATTAATTCACCTAAACACGATAGTTACGAACTTTTCTTGTTTTATTATCACTTATTTATGAGGATATTGTTTGTGCTGGTCTCCATCTAATGGACACGAACAATTGAACCTAAAAAAATTTAGCGATCATTATGAAATTTTACTAAAAGTTTAATATGAAAATTCTCAAAGTTAAGCAACCATTGGTGTATTTAACTAATTAACCTAAGCAAGTTGTGCACCTACATTGAAACACTCAAAGAACTATAAACCAAATAAATGTAATGTCGACCTTAATTCCCAACCTTAAATGGCCTCAAAGATTTTTGAAATTTTGTCTCTGTGGACTACATTGATAACTCATAATGATCAATAAACATGAAATGTGACTACAAAAAGAAGAATTTTTGTTATCCCTCCCTGCAAAATAGCAGTATATTTTTCAGTCTTTTCTAGACCCTAATTAAAAGCATAATTATGTATACTTAATGCTGTTCATGAATAAATTAAAGATGAACTTTAAAGAATATAACTAAAGTTTCATGTAGGAATTCAAGAAGGTGGTATATTTGATATGAAATGAGAGGATATTTTAGTGCCCATTTGCTGGCCGTGAACCCTTTTGCAGTTTGTAATAAATGCCAAATCAGCCTGCTAGACTTCATAGGTTAATCAAAATACTCAGAACTAAAAGAAGATGCCCTAAATTTGTCTAGCATGTTTGGCTAAGCATTAAGAAAGAAGTTAAAATTCCCTTTTAAGTAGTCTCTTTTGTCGTTTGAGCATGTTTGAGTAAGCTTCTTTTTTTTTTTCTAATTATATGTATTGTGTGAGCTTAAATTTTTTATTGAAATAGCATCTTTTGACACGTATCTAGTTCAAACACAGCGTTGCTCGTATAGCTCTCCTCTCTAGTTGCACGTTCAACAACTACAACCTTAATATTGCCTCATCTCAGAGGCTACTTTTGACATTGACATTGTTTCGGACAACCCTCGTCGCCTCGAACGAGTTGCAAAAGCGTTAAGCATAGTATATAGAAATTGGGTTTAGCTCCTACATTAATTTGGTGTGTCAAATACACTCTTTAAGAGTTACAGTTGGTTAATGTTAGTAACAAGAAAACCCTTGAAATTTCAAATACACAAATTCTATATTTGGTTCTCAGTAAAATATTACGAAACTTTCAAAAACCACATTTGACAAAACAAATATCTTAAAATTCAGACACGCTCGCTCTAGATGGAATGTTTTATTAAGGATGAAATTAAAACGTAATACAGATGGCTTGGTCTGAACTCCAGCTATAGAGGCAATAGGAGGACAATGTAAAAGCTAAATAATTACACTTAATGCGAGCTAACCATACTCCTCGTGATCAAACATTTTCTGACCTAGCCTCTAGATATGTACTAGAGAGTAGAGAGGATCATCAACTACTTGTTCTAATATCAAGAGTACCCACAAAACCCTAATAAGTTGTAATTACAGAACTAAGGCCGTGAAGGGTAACATCAATGGTGGGTGAATTTAAATGTTAATTCTGCTATGATTTTTAGCTGAGATCGATCTATAAATATATAACGGCTACCTTACATACAATAAAGATGCAGAATCGGCATAGATCTGACGAACATGACAGCAGCAAAAGTATGCTGCCCTCTTTTAAATTGAAAACGACAAAATCGGAATCCTTCGAAAAAAGAAGAACACACACATATATGATTCATATATTTATGTAGTAGTATAAAGAGAAAGAAAGAGAGAGAGAGAGATATGATAACTATGGGGCACTGAGCAAAATCTGCAAGTTGTCTGCAAGAGGGAGGATTCAAGAAGGAGTCTTCAATGCGCAGACACGCCATCTCCGTGCCCTCACATACATACATACATAAATACATATACATATACACACACACACGTTTAATACATTGTGCGTGTACATCCCAACATGCAGTGAGTGCAGACGCAGAGAGTGCGTTGTTTGTGGGGTGCTGGTGGCAGTATTTGTTTAATTTGCATGGGAGTGCGTTCTGTACCAAAGATACCATAATATTTTGGCTTTTGCATCTACATTTACCACTATATATTACTCTCTCTATCCGTCTGTCTCAATGGTAGTGTGGACCTAGGATTTTTATAAAGGGAAAACACTGTGACGCAAAATATACGGGTATTATGCATAGGTTTAATCTCCTTGTACAGGAAAATAGGTGCCAGAGAAAGATTGACTGGGATAAAACTATTTTTTGTTCCAAATCCAATTAATTAATGCAATCTTTCTCCCTTCTATGTTCCATGTACTACATATAGCTTGCTTCTTAAGCATATATTAAGTAATTACTGAGGCTCATTATTGAACACATAAAGATCACCCCTATTGTCACCTAGACAAATAAGTTCAGCACCCTAACGCTAGATTATACTATATTTAAACAGCCCTGCTACTGAGCCAGGCTCAGTAACATGTTCAAAAACAAGGGCTGAGGTGGCCCCGATTTCACTTTTTTTTGAGATTTAAGGGCCGAGTTGTTGCCACCTCGACTTCCTGTTTTTGAGCCTGGTTTTGCACCTGGCTGAGAAGTATTTTTCATATTTAATTGTGTTACTCGCTTCGAGACAGACTAACTTTTATTTTTCATTTGTTTCGAATTAGGAAAATACTATGTGTATATCTCGTGGTGTATATAATGGATTACTCCCCTCTTACATGGAGAGAGGCCACGAATATTTTATTGTGGGGTTGTAATGCTTTGTATACATCATTATTTACACATAGCATTATTGTTCG